TGTGTGTGTGTGTGTGTGTGTGTGTGTGTGTGTGTGTGTGTGTGTGTGTGTGTGCGCGCGCGCGTGCGTGCGTGTGTATGCATACGAGTGAACGAGTTTGCGTATTTACGATTGTATTGCGGCTATTATCTGATCGTGTGGCACGGAGCGATTGATGATACACGCTGGCGCAACGCGCGCGCGACTTGTCTCCACCCGGCGAACGCCCCACCGGAAGTGAAGCGGGGCAGGTTAATTACGTTGTTGAATCGTGCGCCGCTTTCGCGGCTATATCGTCTCGATTTGGGAGCTCACGCTTTTTCTCCAGAAAGCGAACGAATTTGGCGCGAAACGGGCCAAATTCCTGTCGATGGCGCGCACCTTAATTGGCTTGCCCCGTTCTTTTTTTTCTTGGCGGAATGCCAGGAACTGCGGTAGAAAGGCCGATTGCAGGAAAATTTAGCAAATTGCCAAGCGCGTCCGAGCGAATGATTGCTCTCAGATGCATATTTTTGCGCTCCTTTTTCATCCGGGAAAATGGAGACGCTCGGAGAATAAAGCGCTGGAAGTTCACCTAATAAAACTTCTGTATTCTTATTAGAATTTATTAATCGCGTCGAAAGTCTCTTGATATTTTTCTCTCTTATTAAAATCATAAAAATATATAAGTGCGCACATTTTTTTAATTGGAATCATCAGTAGCTTTTAGTCGATAAAATTTAAAAAACTGATACATAGCCAACAATATCGTACCTTTTCAGGAAATATTTTTTACTGTTCAAAGCATCAAGCAACATTTCTTCAAAATCTATGAATGAATTGTGTTGAATCTGTTATACGTCAATCTTCAAAGAATGTACGTAACCTTTGTTCTCCAATAACTCTATATGCGTACGTTATTTCTCAAAGAACATACTGCGTAACCTTTATTTTCCAATAACTTTGTAACCCATGTATAGTATAGTTTAATGTAGCATGTATATATAAGATATAAATATATTTATCAAATCGTACTAAAAAATAATGAAAAATCGTGGCATTTTTCAAATACGATTCGGCACTGGAATTTTATAAAATGCGAAGTGTAACGTATTTATTTATTCTCAATATAAAAGTATCTTTTAAAAATTCTCCATTTCTCTCACATAATTTTTATCTACAAAATCCCAGTAGTAATTTGAAAGTACAGCTATGGGATTGGATATACATTGAGAAAATCGTTATTTATTATTGCTTGGGCGTCTTGTGAGATATTTTATACATAAACTTTAATAACGATATATGTATATTTATTTTTTTTTATACATTATTTTAAATCAACCAAAATACAAAATTATATTTAATTCACAAAAAATAATTGTTTTTAAAATTTAATAAATCTGTTATTAACATTATTATACATAATTGAAACTTGATTAAGAATACTTTTATATATTATGTTTTTATATATTTACATAATTAAATAATGGTTTTAATTAATTCTTATTAATGAAATATAAACATATGACAAACGATAATTTCTATCAAATTTTGATTTACAGATAAAATATAATGTTGATCTCTATTTTTATAAAAACATTAGTTTATTAAATATTAATTTATTAAAATTAACTAATTAAAGTTTAGTGTAATACATGAAAAATTCTAATTTAAATTAAATTTAATAATTTATGATATCTATATTGTTTATATTAATTACACTACTACTAATTAACTACTTACTTGTTTAATTATATTCTTATTTTATAAATTTTATTATGTCACTTATTTCAAAGACAGAAATATCATGGTTTTAAGTAAATGCTGCATCTACGAGCAATCATTGAATCGAGAGATAATCCAACGACTGTAATCTTCACGATGGAACTTTAATTAGAATTGAATCTTAACTTATCCTTATTCGTGGTGGAATGCCAGGAATTACGCTGGAATGATTTACGGGAGGAAAATCTCGCTTACGCTGCACCTTATCTATTTTTGCCGGTGATTTATTTTCGTTTCGGTGATTATTATACCGCATCCTGACAGCTTATTAGGAACAACGAATTGCTTTCACATTCAGAATTACAGCCTTCTTCCGAACGTCACCAAGTCTTTGCATTACCTAGTTGGTCTCATATTACTGAGAAATAAGTTTTAATTCGTGATTTGCATTTCTAATCATAATTGATGATAGGAAATATATTAATGGGTTAAAATTATCCTCATTTACTGATATATACAAATGACTGTTATTATGGAAAAGTAAATGTTAAATTTCTATTAAACAAGAATAAAGTTAAATAATAAAAGAGAGAAACTATGAAATTAGTTTCTTATAAATTAAAGTACTTTTGATACTTTTGCAAAGCAGCAACTATTTCGAAGCTTAATGCTCACCAACGATGTAACCACCGCGAAGATTAATTTTAACGATCTCACTTAACTTTAAGAGATGCTCTTGGATGCTCTCGCCACTCTCATCTTCCAAAACTCAAGGAACAAATACGGCCTTTTTTTGCGTGTTGTGTATTATTTTCTTTTTGTTTCTTGCAGTTCTCGAAGTTGTTGAAAATATTGGCATTGATATGTATGGAATATAGGATTTAAAAGTTTCGAAATACACTAAATTTTCGAGAGTTACAACATCGTTGTAACGAATGGGCATGAAACTTTTGTCGATCTGCCAAGTAATCGTATTACTTTTTCTAACAACGGAAAGCGTACTTTCGTAACAATATAATATCTGTCCATATTGTGATATTGCTAGTTTTCTTGACTTTGTACAGACAATAGCTAAGAATTGTCATCCATCTTTTTTAACTTTTTAAATGTACCAGAAAATAATTTGCTTTTTATATATGCGAAATGCTATCTTGTGTTAAGAAATATTATAAACTATGTTTTATGCTATTACATTATTTTGAGAGAAATAGAATTATTTATGTATTTATGAATTATTTTGTATATTTTCGAAAGTTAGAAGGGTGACGAAGGCGTACCAAGGGAGATTGTAGGTAATTTGATGTGCTTGGGGTGACAGCCAGACGCGAATGCCATTAAGAGAAATAGAATATCTGGAAAAGTTTTCTCAAATCAACTGAAAAATTGCTAAACTAAAAAGAAATAAACCTCCAGCCATCTCGTTTACCTTGTGACATCTTTCCTTACGTATTTAAATCTTGAAATTATATAAGAGTTGCATCAAAGGACCGCTCGTTAAATATTATACTTTAGGTATGCTCTTGGGATGATAACTCCGATCCCATTCTGCATAAATTAGTTGTAATGATGGAGCTTTGAGTGAATGCTCTTTGGCGAAGTCACAGGAGTTCAAACGGCTTATTAACACATAGGTGAGAGACTGCTAAAGAAAAATCAATCTCTAATACCGCAAAGAAGGGAAACATGGTATACATGGGACTTGCGGGCCAGTACTTCTCGGAGCTGGATCCAAATTTCAATGGTCCTCCTAAAGCAGTCGATCCAGCAATCCGTGCCCGCAAACTTGTAAGTAACAAATTTTCACAAGTAAAATTTACTTAACGCAGTAATAACGTGCTGTAAGAAAATTACGACATTAGCGTTTTATAGCTTTTTACTTAATGAATTTCTTTTCAAATAAATTTCTCAGCAAATAAATGTATTTACAAACAAGATAATGTTTTCAATCATAATATTTTAACTTATTAATTATTTTAGTAAAAACATATTTGTTTGTTATTAAAAACATTTATAATATTAAAATTTCAATGCAAATTTTTTAATGAAAACTTAATTTTATGTTATCTTAAATATCAATGTTAAATTAAATAATTTAACTGTTTATTATTTTTTTCTTTATTACTCTTGAATTATGAGTAACTTATAAATGATAAAATGCATTTATTTTTTTTAAAATCATTAAAGAATTATTATAGAGCTTGAAAACTTTGTATATGCTTAATGTACTGGAAACTATACTTTTACCCATTCTTTTCATTAATTCGAGCAAGAAAGAAACTTCTTTTCTATCTTATAAAGATATTTTAACTGAAAATAAAAAATAAGTAGCGTGTAATAAAAGTTTATCTGGATGAGTTACAGGAAGATGTTTAAAGTGCAACGAACATACTATTTCCATTGCATGAAACTAGAAACGTTTATAAGGCGCTTTATCAATTTATGCTCAAACTAAGAATTATGAAAGAACTATGAAATGTACATATGTAATAAGTTCTCGAGAACACGCTTTCCTTTTGATGAAAGATTCTTTAATGCACTTCTTTAATATATGAAGTTTTTGATATCGATTATGAATGGTTTCCGTATTTCAGTGTCTTTACGATTTAAAAGATAAGTTTTTAAAACGTAAAGCCATTTGTAACTTTTTACATCGTGTAATGCAGTTTTCAATTTTGTAAACTGCGCTATGATATTTTTCGTAATCCGATGTGGTGTAATTTTAAAGCGAAACGAAGGATTGCCACGTGCTTAATCCCTTCCATTTAATATACATAATCCCTCTTCATTCAAGTGAACATTTTACTCCATATATAACTTTTTATCACATGTTATGCGTAAAGTTTTGTATTTGCATTAATTGTAATTTTTATAATAAGAATATAAAATTTTATATAAAAAAATATATATATATTTTAATTATATATTTTATATTTATATTATATATTATAATATATATATATAAAAATATATATATTAATATATATTATAAT